TACTCTGGAAAGCTGCATCGGACATGAAGCCATGCACGCTTCGAAAAAGTAGAGCACGTGGTCGAAGTTTAAACTGCCCGCCAAAAAGTGATGCGCGCTGACTTTGCCACGTGGTAACCTCGTGCATTTTACTAGTAACGTATTTGATTGTATTTGATTGTAACGTATCTGATGTGCTGTTTCTGTTCTCTTCCATTTTGCACGAAAAATAATAATTTTCTCAAGTAAATTCTGGTGTGTATTTGAACATTAGCTTAGGTACACAAGAGCACCTGAGCTTTTGTGTTTATTTCCAGCATATCTTTTTCTTAATTAAGCAAAGTTGAAGTAACGTATCTGATATTAGCTCATCGTAACGTTAGTTTTCCCTGTAGTTGAATCTACATATATTTTTGTAACAAGAGATTCAATGTATATATCAAGGTGCCATATAATCTTGAGGTTGGCTTGGTTTAAAACGTTCAAGTACACTGCTATGCGGCTTTCATCGAAAGGGTGCGGTGCGGCGCAGGGTGGTGTGCTCAACGCACCCTTTCGATAAAAGCGGGGGGGCTTTTCTCGAAAGGGTGCGTTGAGAGCGGAGTACCGTTTTAACACACCCTTTCGATAAACGCGGGGGGGGGGGGCTTTTCTCGAAAGGTTGCGTCGACTAGTCTTTCGCATCAGTCGTTTCAAATGAGGATCTGGGACAGAAAGTAATAGTTGCCAATTTAAGTATATCGAAAATGTATTAAATAAAATGGAATGGTCTTGATTACAGAGTGGTCTCTTTCGTTATTACTATATGTTGATGGGGGAGACAGAGAGAAGGAAAAAAGGGAAAGGGAAAGGGAAGATAAAAGGAAAGAAAGAAGAATAAGAAGAAAAGAGGGAAACGGGGGGGGGCGAAGGGCTCTTGCCTCCTCCTCACCCCCGCCCCCCCCCCCCCCCGCCAAAAAATAAATAAGAGAGAGAGAGAAGGGCAAGGGAAAGGGAAAGAAAATATAAAAGGAAAGAAAGAAGAGGAAGAAGGAAAGAGGGAAACGGGGGAAGGGCCAAAGGCTCTTACGGGGGCGAAAGGCTCTTGCCCCCCCCCCCCCCCCGCCAAAAAATAAATAAGTGAGAGAGAGAGAGATAGAGAGAGAAGGGAAAGGGAAAGGGAAAGAGAATAAAAAGGAAAGAAAGAAGAGAAAGAAGAATAAGAAGAAAAGAGGGAAACGGGGGCGAAGGGCTCTTGCCTCTTCCCCTCCCCCCCCCCCGCCAACAAATAAATAGGAGAGAGAGAGAGAGATAGAGAGAAGGGAAAGGGAAAGGGAAAGAAAATATAAAAGGAAAGAAAGAAGAAGAAGAAGAAGGAAAGAGGGAAACGGGGGAAGGGCGAAAGGCTCTTACCCCCCCCCCCTCCCGCCCAAAAAAATAAATAAGAGAGGGAGAGAGAAGGGAGAGGGAAAGAAAATATAAAAGGAAAGAAAGAAAGAAGAGGAAAAAGAATAAGACAAGAGGGAAACGGGGGCGAAGGGCTCTTGCCTCCTCCCTCCCCCCCCCCCCCGCCAAAAAATAAATAAGAGAGAGAGAGAGAGAAGGAAAGGGAAAGAGAAGATAAAAGGAAAGAAAGAAGAGGAAGAAGAAGAAAAGAGGGAAACGGGGGCAAAGGGCTCTTGCCTCCTTTTTTTTCTTTCTTTTCCTTTCTTTCCTATTCTCCCTCTTTTTCGTTTTTCTCTTTCTTTCTTCTCTTTTCTTTCCTTTCTTTTCTTTTTTCTTTCTTTCTTTTCTTTTTCTTTTTTTCTTTTCTTTCCTTTCTTTTTTTTTTTCTTTCTTTCTTTTCTTTTTCTTTTTTTCTTTTCTTTACCTTTCCCTCTCTTTTTTCCCCTCCCCCTTTTCTCTTTTTTCCCGACGGCAGCGCAATTTTACCGACAATATCCTGACAGGTGGGGGGGTGTCGCACCCCCACACCCCCTTTGGAGACGCCCCTGCCTACGCCACTGTTGGCGACCACAAGGCTATCAATACAAATTAAGACATATTAATGAAGATTCTTTTTTAATGTTGCAGAGAGATAAGTATTTTCTCTATGAACTTGTTTAATGGAAGGACAATAAATAATATTAAAAATATGAATACTATAGCGGTATAATGATGAGAGAGATGATTTAAGTCATACTTTTTTTTCAATGTGATTGGAGTAGACTTGAGGCTGGGGGGGGCCTAAGATTTCGGCTGTTTCACAGCCGATCGCCGCGAAAATGTGCATGCATGTCAAGTGAAGTGTATAAAATACTATGGTAATTTCAATTTTTTGAAAAAAAAATTTACTCATTTGCATATCTATGGTAATTTATGTAAACAAGGTCAGAGAATTCACATTTTTACCCATAAATCATATATAATTCATATTCAAGCGTTCTTTTTCACTACATATATTCGTTAGAATAATAATACGACAACAAAGTTGGAAGAGCCAGTTTATCCCTATGTTATCTCTTGTTTTGATAATTTGTATTTATGTATTATATTGTTTTTGTTGTTTTATTACATTTCTAACCACAATTCAACTATTTTGAACCAAAAACAAACACATTAACTTGAAACAAGACCAAATAACCAATGTTTTCTCTTTTTTAAAAAGAATAAATGGTACTTCCATATGTTTGGTACATAAATCACAAAAATGAGCGATTTTAGGGCTGACATGCAAAAACAAAAGGTCACGTGACTTCGCAACTATACGTCCGATTTTCAACAAAAAAATGTTTCAAAAGATGCGTAAGACTCGAAAGAAAAAAGTCATGAAAGAAAAACTTTATATCTGCCGCGGTTCCGGAGTAGTCGCGAAATTACTAGAGAGCACTAATCTTTTTTGGGGGCCCTCGAAAATTTGAAAAATCGTACCCCCCCCCCCCCCTTGAACGCCAGGGGGGGGCCTATCTCCCAAAAACGGTAAAATTAACGTGTTTTTTACACGTTTTTTCACAGGGCAGAGCCCTCAGAAGCTCAGGGGTATTAAACATCAAAATTAACGTCGGATGAGCATAATTTTATACCTTATTTGTGACAGTGACAGGACACAATTTGATTTTATACCTTATTTGTGACAGTGGCAGGACACAATTTGGTGTTGGGTCCAGGGGGCGGAGCCTCCAGAAGCTCAGGAGTTTTGTACATTAAATTATTATTATTTTATACCTTATTTGTGACACAGGGGTCACGAATTGGCGTGGGGTCCAGGGGGTGGAGCCCCCGGAAGCTCAGGGGGTTTGGACAATAAATAACGGTCAGATGAGCATATTTTTATATCTGTTTGTGACACTGGCAGGACACAAATTGGTGTTGGATCCAAGGGGCGGAGCCCCTAAAAGGTGAGGGGTTTTATACATCAAATTATCGTCAGATGAGCATATTTTTATATCTATTTGTGACACTGGCAGGACACAAATTCTTCTTCCTCTTCTTTTTTTCCTTTTATCTTCTCTTTCCCTGTCCTTCTCTCTCTCTCTCTCTCTTATTTATTTTTTGGCGGGGGAGTGGAGGGAGGAGGCAAGAGCCCTTCGCCCCCGTTTCCCTCTTTTCTTATTCTTTTTCCTCTTCTTTCTTTCCTTCTCCCTTCTTTCTCTCTCTCTCTCTCTCTTATTTATTTATTTTTGGGCGGGAGGGGGGAGGTAAGAGCCCTTCGCCCTTCCCCCGTTTCCCTCTTTCCTTCTTATTCTTTGTCCTCTTCTTTCTTTCCTTTTATATTTTCTTTCCCTCTCCCTTCTCTCTCTCTCTCTCTCTTATTTTTTTTTTTTTTTTTGGCGGGAGGGGGAGGTAAGAGCCCTTCGCCCTCCCCCCGTTTCCCTCTTTTATTCTTCTTCCTCTTCTTTCTTTCCTTTTATCCTCTCTTTCCCTTTCCCTTTCCCTTCTCTCTCTTATTTATTTTTTGGCGGGGGGGAGGGAGGAGGCAAGAGCCCTTCGCCCCCGTTTCCCTCTTTTCTTATTCTTTTTCCTCTTCTTTCTTTCCTTTTAGATTTTCTTTCCCTCTCCCTTCTCTCTCTCTCTCTCTCTCTCTTTGTCATCTTCTTTCTTTCCTTTTATATTTTCTTTCCCTCTCCCTTCTCTCTCTCTCTCTCTCTTATTTATTTTTTGGCGAGGGGAGGCAAGAGCCCTTCGCCCTCCCCAGTTTCCCTCTTTTATTCTTCTTCCTCTTCTTTCTTTCCTTTTATCTTCTCTTTCCCTTTCCCTTTCCCTTCTCTCTCTTTCTTATTTATTTTGTTGGTGGGGGGGAGGTAAAGGCCCTTTGCCCCCGTTTCCTTCTTTTATTCTTCTTCCTCTTCTTTCTTTCCTTTTATCTTCTCTTTCCCTTTCCCTTTCCCTTCTCTCTCTCTTATTTAATTTTTTGGCGGGGGGGAGGATCGAGGCAAGAGCCCTTCGCCCCCGTTTCCCTCTTTTCTTCTTCCTCTTCTTTCTTTCCTTTTATATTTTCTTTCCCTTTTCCTTTCCCTTCTCTCTCTCTCTTATTTATTTTTTGGCGGGGGGGGGGCGGGGGGTGAGGAGGAGGCAAGAGCCTTTCGCCGCCCCCCCCCCCCCGTTTCCCTCTTTTCTTCTTTCTTTCTTTTTATCTTCCCTTTCCCTTTCCCTTTTTTCCCTCTCTCTGTCTCCCCCATCAACAAAGTAATAACGAAAGAGACCACTCTGTAATCAAGACCATTCCATTTTATTTAATACATTTTCGATATACTTAAATTGGCAACTATTACCTTCTGTCCCAGATCCTCATTTTAAACGACTGATGCGAAAGACTAGTCGACGCACCCTTTCGAGAAAAGCCCCCCCCCCCCCCGCTTTTATCGAAAGGGTGTGTTGAAACGGTACTCCGCTCTCAACGCATCCTTTCAAGAAAAGTCCCCCCCCCCCTCCCCTCTTTTATCGAATGGGTGCGTTGAGCACACCACACCGCACCGCACCGCACCCTTTCGATGAAAGCCCTAATTAAGATCCGTGTAATGAAGGCATTGTTTTTCCAAGTAGGAACTCTATGGCTGCGAGACATGGGCATTAGGAAAGGCAGACAGGGGAGCCATATCTGCCTTGGAAATGTGGTGTTGGAGGAAGCTATTACTTGGGATATCATGAAGAGGGTAACCCGACACATGCTCCGCCGACGATTGCTCCGCCGACATTTACTCCGCAAAACGCGACAATTGCTCCGCGACATTTGCTCCGCGACATTTGCTCCGACGTCAAATGCTCCGCCGACAGTTGCTCCGCCGACAGTTGCTCCGCCGACAGTTGCTCCGCCGACAATTGCTCCGCCGACAGATGCTCCGCCGACAATTGCTCCGCCGACAATTGCTCCGCCGACAATTGCTCCGCCGTCAATTGCTCCGCAAAACGCGACAATTGCTCCGCCGACATTTGCTCCGCCGACATTTGCTCCGCCTGAAGCGACACTTGCTCCGCCGACATTTGCTCCGCCGACAATTGCTCCGCCGACAATTGCTCCGCCTGAAGCGACAATTGCTCCGCCGACATTTGCTCCGCCGACAATTGCTCCGCCTGAAGCGACAATTTTTCCGCCGACATTTGCTCCGCCTGAAGCGACAATTGCTCCGCCGACATTTGCTCCGCCGACAATTGCTCCGCCGACAATTGCTCCGCCTGAAGCGACAATTGCTCCGCCGACATTTGCTCCGCCGACATTTGCTCCACCGACATTTGCTCCGCCGACAATTGCTCCGCCGACAATTGCTCCGCCTGAAGCGACAATTGCTCCGCCGACATTTGCTCCGACGACATTTGCTCCGCCCAAAACTGTCCCATAAACTACAAATGCTACTAGTACTACGACAAATGCTTCGCCGACAATAATTATTTTCTTTACACCTATTTTTTTCGTTTCTTTTTTTCTTCTTCATTTTCTGAATGCATTTCTTGAAATAATGTAGATGAAATGAAATGAATGAATGTTGATGAAGTGGGAGGAAAAAGGAGTTACCTAAAAGTCATTTCGAATATACTGAAATAACTTTCCATCTATCACTGTACGTCCCATATAATGTATACTAAACACTCATTACATGTCGTGGGAAGTTTTTAAAAAAAAGTAGAGCAGCAAGCCACATTCCCCAATACGCGCATACCTCCTAGTTAATTTCAAGTAGCTCATCAATATGTAATACCTGAAATTACCTCGATCAATGCATCTTACTAGGTAAAGCATTATACAATGTAATAGGTCATCATGGAAGTTTAGAAAATAAGTAAGGGGGATTTACCAAGTGTTGATCTTTTTAAGAGTTTTATAAAGAAACAAAAAGATATTGAATATTTCTCAGCGAAAAAAAGGAACAAGCTTGTTTCGCATTTTAAGAAATGGCGATTTGACTTATGATACTCATGTTGATTTAACTTTTATTCCTGTGCCCCCTCACTCCCCTTTATGCACTGGAGTTCAAACTATGATTTATATGTGTACAGTGTATTTTTTTTTACTATAATGTTTTTTTTTTATAACTTTCTTGTCCTTTCATTATTGTTAGTTGTTCTTATACATATTGGTTTTTTTGTTCGTCTAATTATTACCAATGACTTGTAAATATGTAATTTTTATATGATTGAAAATTTAATAAACACACAAATATAAAAAAAAAGTTTAGAAAATAAGGGCACTTATATACGTAAGGAAGAGAACCCATTCAGACGGGAAAATGAGATGGCAGCCTTTCTGCTTATTCACATTTATACAAATCATTTTGTTGCAGTTTGATGTTAGTTCTTCATGATAAGCCAATTGCTCTTCTTCCAGTGGCTTCGTGAGTCCCTTAAATTATTTAGTGAAAACAAAGTACTCGAATGAAACGGAGTGTTTTGCACACTAACATATATATATATATATATATTAAAGCTACATACACTTAACTAAAGGAAAGAAACCTTTAGAAAATGGACTGGATATTATTGAAAATATTATTCTAAACAAGAATGTACTACATGATTGTATTACTTTACGTTTCAATTTCACGAGAGAAATAGAACTCGAGAGGGGGAGCAGAGAAGAAGTGATGGAAATGAAAGAAGACTAATAGCATGAGAGGAAAGAAAAGAGCAAAGAAGACAAGAAAACGGTGTAAACAGGAAAAGGAGGAGCATGGGAGAGAGAGAAAGAGAGAGAGAGAGAGAGAGAGAGATGGCCTTGAGCTTTGGATCAGCTAATGAGTAATACATGAAACAACTTTTGAGCGGAGTAATTATCTTTCGCCGGAGAACTTGCGTAAGGAGCTATAATTTTATTTTTTATTTTTTTAAATCAAACATTATGGGGAATAGCAAAAAACGGTTGTCTTTTTTGCTCTTTTCTTTCCTCTCATGTTATTAGTCTTCTTTCATTGAGGTAATTTCAGGTCTTACATATTCAGATGAGCTGTTTGAAATTAACAAGGAGGTATGCGCGTATTGGGGAATGTGGCTTGCTGCTCTACTTTAAAAAAAAAAAAACTTCCCATGACATGTAATGAGTCTTTAGTGTACATTATGGGGGACGTACAGTGATAGATGGAAAGTTATTTCAGTATATTCGAAATGACTTCTAGGTAACTGCTTTTTCCTCCCACATTATCAACATTCATTCATTTCATTTCATTTACATAATGTCATGAAATGCATTCAAAAAATGAAGAAAAAAAAGAAAGAAACAAAAACAACCCGTGAAAAAAAAATATTGTCGGCGAAGCATTATTTTGTCGTAGTACTAGTAGCATTTGTATTTAATGGGACACTTTTTGGGCGGAGCAAATGTCGTCGGAGCAAATGTCACCGGAGCAAGTGTCGCTTCATGCGGAGCAAATGTCGTCGGAGCAATTGTCGGCGGAGCAAATGTCACCGGAGCAATTGTCGCTTCAGGCGGAGCAATTGTCGGCGGAGCAATTGTCGACGGAGCAATTGTCGGCGGAGCAATTGTCGGCGGAGCAAATGTCGTCGGAGCAATTGTCGGCGGAGCATATGTCACCGGAGCAATTGTCGCTTCAGGCGGAGCAATTGACGGCGGAGCAAATGTCGGCGGAGCAAATGTCGGCGGAGCAAATGTCGGCGGAGCAAGTGTCGCTTCAGGCGGAGCAAATGTCGGCGGAGCAATTGTCGCGTTTTGCGGAGCAATTGACGGCGGAGCAATTGTCGGCGGAGCAATTGTCGGAGGAGCAATTGTCGGCGGAGCATCTGTCGGCGGAGCAATTGTCGGCGGAGCAACTGTCGGCGGAGCAACTGTCGGCGGAGCACCTGTCGGCGGAGCATTTGACGTCGGAGCAAATGTCGCGGAGCAAATGTCGCGGAGCAATTATCGCGTTTTGCGGAGTAAATGTCGGCGGAGCAATCGTCGGCGGAGCATGTGTCATGGAACCCATGAAGAGATTACATCACCAATGGACACAATTAATGTCCATCATCGGAGATCAACCGCCACTTGCTACCAGGATTGACAAGTACAAGCTACAATAGTTTGGTCACGTTAGCAGAAGATCAAGAGACAACCTTGACAAATTATCATTTAAGGTATATTTGAAGGAACACGTAACGAAGGAAGACTTAAAGGGAGGCTTTACTACTGCAGCTAGAAGGGATTAGACCACCCAGAGAGCCATCGAGGTCACTGTGACAGGTGGCTATCTCATTAACTCAGCTCTCATTTAACATAAGAAAAAGAGGATCATGGGGGACCAACAGGCACCGATTTGGGAAGTTTTCTATATAGAGGGAGCAAGTAGCTACAAGTAGGACAGTGTGCCTTTAAGCTCAGATGGAGTGACGACCCTAGGGAAATTACTAGCCACCCTCTAAATACTAAATACTCTACCGGATTGCAGGAGACAGATGCCGATCGAAAGGTCTCATCAAACGGGTCACAAGGGTGAGCCATGATCTATATGACAACGACGACGACGAACAGTGAGAGATAGTTTCTTGGAGGGCAGCAGTGACGCGGGACTCAGTTGGAAGACTCTTGATCCGTTATGACCTCTAGATACTCTTGGATCTGTCAAACACCAAGCAAACATCATCAAATTTTCATTCACAGTAGAGCACAACCATCAATGGCTGTACCAGGTTGTTCCAGTGTCTCATGCCTGGCTGACATCTCAACTTTTGTCAAATTCTATAAGTCCGCCTTTGACATGGGAGTGCTCGTTTCCAGAATCATCAAAGAGTGCTGTTGGGACTGGTGAAAGCTCTTATGATAAAATGTCCTTGACATTGACCTCTCTATAACTTGCCTGCAGTCCTATTACTCTGGAGTAGATCAACTTTTCATAGACTTTCGTACCCCAACATTAACTTCTCCATGGCTGCCATGGTTTGAACTTTCTTTGAAATTGTGTCATAGAATCCACCATGTAATTTCTTTTGAAACTCATGCATCTGTCTAGTACAGATGTCAACTGCTTTATCCACATTCACTGACGTTGGAGCAATGCTGGTCTAAATAAAGCCTATCAATGGAATAATAATGTGTGCCGTAAAACCACTTCTCACCGATTTGATGAAAATGAATTCTTTCATAGCCATTTTTGTTTCTTGACATAATAGGTGTAGGGAATTGGAGACCGTAGGGAATTGGAGACCACCAAGCCTGAACCAATCACTGTCGGTCCGTGTTGGCTCCAATATTGCTATAGCGCCATTGTGTGGCCTTTAGCAAAACTACTGCATATATCCAATTCATTTCGAAGACTACACTGCGTTCTCTCTCCGAGAAAATTGACCATCGTAAAATGTTGCTCTGGTATAAAAACACAATTTTCACAGAATCAGTGTATGCAGATATTTAGGGGTGGCTCTTAAAAATTAGTTTTGAAAGGAAGTTTATGAGGTGTGCCAACCATCACAGAAAATTATGGCCATCGTGTGTTGTGAATGGGTGCTGCAATGCACATTATGAATGGTGTCTGATCAGAAATGTGTGTAGGCAATGGGGAACACCAGGTCCAAGATGGGGGCCTACTTTCCCCCAGTTGTCCATTTCATGTTGAAAGGCACTATCATGAAACATGTTTGGTTGTTCGTGTCACCATTCTAATTTGAATGCATTTCATTTTAAGAAGTTGTTTCTATGCTGTGAGTTTGAGTAATGTAAAAGTCACATTGCCAGAACATTATTCTGAAAGTATTTAAACATAATTTAAAGCACCTTTATAACTGTAAACAAAAAACTACAGAAATATTTTGGGCCACATTGTTTTAAAATCGTTTCAAAATTACAGTAAGTTCATTGGCTGCATGTATCTCTTTCAAAAAGTGTTTGAAGTAACTATAACAATCCCATTTTCATTCAAATTGTATTCAAAATGTCTTGATTTGTAACTGTCCCTTATTACCTCCATATATAGGTAATGAGAGACCTTTGGTGATGACGTCATTAATCATTAATTGTTATCTTATTAATCAGTTACATCATGACCACAATTTTGTTACCAAATAAAGAGAAAAAATAGTACTGAAGAGAATACAAAACTGTCTGTATGTGTAACATTGTTCAAGTTTATGTAAATTATGCAAATGTGCGTAAGGGTCTTCAATTCCTCATACCTACCCTATCTAAATTTGGACCAAACAAGATGAAAGATGAATGCAGCACAACTGCAATTGTTGCCCCCAAAAAAGCATTTAATATGATTTCGACGTGACATAGATTTAAGAAATTGGCATTTGGCTGGCACACATATTTTATTCAAATTAATGTTTATAGAGGGCGCTATTTCAAAATATGCAAATAAGCTGGTCATCTATGGCCATGCAACATCACAAAACATTTTTTTAGTGATGGTCCTAGAGGGATACAGACATTTGGCTGCCCAAAATTATAGAAAAAATCCTTATTATATATTTATTATTCATTTTTAAAGGAAATTCATGTACTTTGGCGGCCATTTTGTATGACGTCATATATCTTAAATTGCTCAAGGCTGACAGCGTGTCAGCAATTGGATTCTTGAAATAGAAGCTTTAGGCAATCAAAATCCATTGGAAAAAAAAACTATAGACCCTAAAACAAGGTTAGGCCAATAATCTGGATTTGGCTGCCGGACTAGCATATTTGTATTTTTAAAAGATGTCAGATTTGAGGATTTATGACGATTTTCCGAGAAACCATTCAACAGGCCATAACATTCCACAAAGACTGAATTTTAGATTTACAAAAAGTTTGGTGACCCTAGTATAGTTGTGGCTATACCTTGAGTGTAAACAACAAATCGATTCAATGAGTGAAACACATGAGGGTATTCCATTTTTTGTAGGGGAGTTTTATAAATTGAGGTGCATTTTCACCACGCAAAATAACAGTGCAAGTCAATGGACGATCAGCGGGCCATGTCACACATGGCTGAAAAGACAATATTCTATTAAATAATTTAACATATTTCCCACATGCCTATAACAATGAAACTACGCAGAATTGTAGTTAAAGGTATGCTTGGAATATATGTGAAATAAAAATTTAAAAATATTGTTTAGTTTTTTAAAAATAAATTTACAAAAAATGCTATTTCTATCAACTGACTACTGTTGTGTGTGTGCGTGTGTGTGCGTGGGGCAGACTGTGTGCACAGGCAGTGTGATCACCTTAAGAAACAATCGTATTTCAATATATTAATTACACAATTTTTCTTCTCTTTTTTTTTCAGATGATTTCGGGATATCCGTTCCACCTTTAGTAGACTACTTAAAGACCATTTTAAGGGAATATAGTGACGGTCAGATCATAAAGGTAAACCATTCACTACTTTCCTAGTTATAATGGGATTCATCGAAGGATCATTAAAATACTCAAAATTTCTGGAAAATAAGCATAGTTCCTCTTATGAAATTTGGAGCATTGTCGCCCCGGCTGCACTGCTGTTCATTGTTATGGTAGAAATAGGGTACAGATACTTAAAAACTAGATATGGCATTTGTGATGACCACAAAAGGGCACAATTTGTAAGCGGCAGTGGAAATACAGGTAAAAAGAGGCACTTATCAAAGAGCAATTATTTGAAAAAGCAAAAGTAACTAATCAAGGCACGAACCAAAGGTCAAAAGGGGCATTTAGAAGAAGGGGGAATGGGCACTTATAAGAAAGTAAAATGGGGCACTTATCGGTAGTTGAAAGGGGCACATATTATAAATGAAAGAGGCACGTGTCAAAGTAAACAGGGCACTTTTTATACTCAGAAAGGGGCACTCAGAGAGTAAAAGGGGCACTTATTACAGGGAGAAAGATGCACTTATTGCAAGGGGAATATGAAAGATGAAGGGATACGTATTGCAAAGAGAAACTGAGCACGTTTCAAAGTGAAAGGGGGCACTTATCAGAGGTAAAAAGAGGCACATCTCACACCTGCTAAGGGGCAATCACCACAGGTGAAAAGGGGCACTTATAAGAAAGAGAAAGGGGGCATTTATTAGGAAGGGAATAGGGTACCTGTCAGAATCGATACGGGGCATTTATCAGAGGTAAAACGGGACACTAATGACAAAAGGTAAGGGGCACTTATTAGAAAGAAAAATGGCATTTATCTAAAGTTTTAAAAAGGTGCACTTTGGGAGGTACTTGAGACAGTATTATTAGGGCACTGTACCCCCTTGTCCATCCCACGCCTCCCAGAGCACCACCTCTCATATGGAGAATAAATGGTAGGGAGCTTCTACTTTTTATTAATAATTTGCAAGACCTAAACCTTGTTTAGTGTATTGAATAACATTTACTGGCGATGTACTAATTAGTGCAGCTGTCTTGGCGTTATAGACTTTGACCTACTACAAAGATTTTTTTTATTTTTAAAGTACGAGTCAGTTATGTTCTTAACTTCTTACATAGGCCGATCCCAGAGAAGAATGGGGTAAGAATGGTAGTAACCATTAATTTGAGGTTCGAAACATAAATAGAACAAGTTTTGTGTACATGGTCATAGATTTTTTTTTAAAGAGCCCTAGTAAAATGACGCTGCTTTGCCTTTGCAGGAGCTTGTTCAGAACGCCGAGGATGCCGGCGCAGATACTGTCAAATTCCTGTATGACGTACGGCACCACGGGAACGAGACGCTGTACCTAGATTCCCTAGCACCTTACCAAGGTCCAGCCCTCTACTCCTTCAACAATGCCAAGTTCAAGAAAGCCGACTGGGATGGGATCCAGACACCTGCCCGCAGCAAGAAGAAAACGGATCGCCTGAAGGTTGGACGTTTCGGCATTGGATTCAATTCCGTGTACCACATAACAGGTGAGAACGATACCAATAGATACATAGATTAAAAAATGGAAGCACACAACATTTCAAGGGAAATGTCTTGATACTCTGGAGTTGTTTCCCGGCGCCTAAACATTCCTCCAAAACATACACACAAACAAAAAAATTGAGGGGGGGGGGGTATGCGCCTGGATTGTGTTATATACTTTTATATACTTTTTTAGCATTGCAAGCATTATTGTTTTATTATTTTTATACTTATTAATTATCACCCTTTCGATTACTTTTCAGATTTACCGAGCATCATGAGCGACCAAAAGCTGGCATTCATTGATCCATTAGAGGAACATTTTTTTGACAAGCGTGGTAGAGTCAAAACTGGATGGCAATTTGGTCTCGGATCCGACAGCGACATATTCTCGGAGAACGAAGACCAGTTTCAACCGTACCACAACATATTTCCCGGTGTCACAGGAGGAATTTCGACGGGATATTTCGACGGCACGTTGTTTAGATTTCCTCTGCGGCATGCCGCAAATAGTTTAAGTGACAAAATATACAGCGATGAAGGCACAATAAGCGAGCTCCTCCTGGCTTTTCGAGCCGATGCTGATGTTGCTATGCTGTTTTTGCGCTCTTTGAATAACATCGAGGTGTTAAAGAGGCCATTCGGTCTGCAAGAGCCATCACTAATTGTACGAGTTCGAAGGGAACACGATCCAGAAACACATCCACCGGGAAAGGAATTTTCTTCACGTCTAGAAACTTACTGCTCTGACGTCAGTGGGCGCCGAGGGCCGATCAAGTTGAATGATTGTGTGACATTCACTACCGAAACACTGGAGGCATCCAAGGCACAACGCTGGATTGTTAGTCATCATATCGCGGGTGATAGCATGTCTCCAGAGCTTTCCGATTTGGCCAAGAAGCAAAGTCATCTCCCGTGGGCAGCTGTTGCTGTTCCCGTGAGTTCTTCAGAACCAAGAAATGTAGCAGGTGAAGCAGAGAATAACAACATTGGTAGAGCATTCTGCTTTCTTCCCCTGCCACCTGGTGAGGAGAGTCGGACGGGTTTACCAGTTCATGTGCATGGATTCTTTGCTGTCAATAGCGATCGCCGCGGGATCAAGTGGCCCGGACCTGACCAAACGGACTCTCCAGCACAATGGAACCAACTTCTTGTGAGAGAACTTATTCCACTTGTATATGTCGACGCGATCAAATACGCCATTAGTATTCACACTTCCCAGGACAGCGTGACCGCCCATTGCATCTATCGATCATGGCCAGATCATGAAGAGGTTCGTGGAAACTGGGACATTCTCTTGGAACCCTTCTACAACGCTCTCTTCCATGAAACTATCATACATAGCGACAACAATGGGTGGATGAACATCGCCGACGTCCATTTCAACGAATTGAATGTGGATGAAGATATGGAAAAGGTCATCCTCAAGTGCTTCAACATCAAAGGCATTGCATACGCAAGGGTTCCCAATGTGTGCAGACAGGCCATCAGGAAGTTCTACAAAGATCAGATATCCACTGTTTCTGCTTCCAGCCTTTGCCGTTGCCTCCGTGAAGATCCTGCGATTTTGACCAAGCTCAATGCTGATGAGAAGCTTCTGGTTCTTGAGTTCATCTTGCGGGAGGACGCCAGACAAGATCTGGAAGGATTATGTCTTCTTCCTCTCGATGACGGAAGCTTCCACTTCTTCTCGAGTTCTGATGAAAAGAAAGTGTACATACCAACCACCGAGTTCCATCGACAGCTTATACCAGGATTATATCATCAATTCATCAGAACGGTACCAGAGGACAAGCCGCTTCATCAACTCCTGTCCAGTATCGGTGTGTTTTGGTTTTCATTATCTTATCCTCTAACCGAATTACCTAGGGTAGAGATGATTGAAAGTGACCTTATTTAAGAAAAAATCATAGATTGTTATTTACAGCCTGAATCATTATATTAATTTCGTTCTATTTATCCTGTAGAAACTGCCATGCTTCTTTAATATTTTTTTCAAAAGAGTTTAATCACCAAAGTAATATCTGTTTTTTGATTTACTAGATTTATATCAATTGCATCACAGAGATTAACATTTGGGACTCTATTAATCAATGTATTTACTTAGGTCAAGTTGAACTTATTCCGCTTTTGAAATTAGACAAAATATTTCGACGGAATATGCATAGCCTGTATTCTTATATTTGATATTTGATTCTTATATTTTCCTACTATTTGAAAGTGATGCCAAATTTGACCTCGTGAGAATATTTTCATTACCTTTTGTGACAGTTTATCGAATTTCTTTAACAAAACAACCATATAATTGACACATAGCGATTAGAGAAACGATTAACTTTTGTGTAAATTAAATAACGATTGTAAGTTGTCTTTATTTCATATGCAGATGGGCGTTATCAGCTAAAAGCATTAACCCTTGATGCAGTAGCAAAGCTCTTGAAGACCAGTTTGAAAACTCGGATAGACGATCAAGGGACCTGGGTACAAGACACAGAAGAGCCTTCTCTAAATGCATGGCTTGAAGATGTCTGGTCAATGCTGTACAGAGAGAGTTCAAGTAAGTTACTTCTCTTTGAAGGTATCCATCTTGTACCATTGTTTGAGGCCGATGGTGAAGCTAGAAGACTACTACCACTGTGCCCAAAGTCGGCAATTATCCAGAGAAGTCACCAAACATCTGACGGTTATCTCACATTGACCAATGATCTGGCAAACATTCTCAAACAGATTGGAGTGACAGTCACAAACTGTCCTGATTATGTTCTCCGCCATCCAGCTATCATGCGTGACGAATATATCAAGATGCCAACATCAGAAGGGGTAGTTAAATGCCTTCTGCTTTCAGATGTTGAACTACTTTTCCAGAGATTCCATTCCTTCTCCACCATCGATAGAGAGGTTCTCGTAGAATATCTTGCACAGGCAAAACTCTCCCATGATGGTAAGAAACTTCTAAGTTGCCTACCACTATTTGAAAGAGTCGATGGAACCGGAAGTTCAAACAAACCTTTAGTCGCCATTGAACAATGCGAAGGGTACATGGAATGTTGCCAAGACGATATTCCTGCTCCACTGAAGTTGACGGGGCTCTTGATCGATGGAAGAACACAATCTAAATGTCTGCTACAGAAGTTAGAAGTCTGTCCATTATCGAAATATCAGGTGATAATGAAAATCTTGGAAGAAATTCAAAAGGGGCAATTGTACACAAAGCAAGACAAACAACTTGTCTTGCAGTGGATAATGGAGCACTGGGAAGATATCAAAGTCAACTGCAAGTCCAGCGTAGACATTTTGCGTCATATGGAATTCATCCCCAACAACAATAATTCTTTATTGTCTCCCTGTGAACTCCTTGATCCAAGTGATCCATTGCTTGACGAACTGTTTGCCTCTCAAGGATTATTTCCAGGCGCACCATTTGATTCACCTCAGTTCATAGTAGCTTTCAAACAGCTTGGCATGCGTGGACCAAGTGAAGTTACTTCATCCGAGTTGATTACATGTGTTGAGATGGTTGATGAATCTCAAAGCCCAGAAAAGGCTCGAACGCTACTAGAGCTCCTCACAAGTAACCAAAGCCTTCTCGAAAGATCTGTCATTGATCATATGAAACAGAAGCAATGCATTCCTTGCAGACAGTCTCCTCCAGAGTATTACCCCTCAGTTATTGAGTGGTATGGTAATCTTTCTACGAGACTGTCAACTCCCCACGAAATTCTGAGAGAAAAGAAGCTAGCTGTACTGACATGTGGAGCCTCTAAATGCTTTACTTCCCAGGAGGATGAGAGTCGTTTCTCTACAGTCTACACAAAGATTGGAATGAATATCCCATCTCCAATAATTTCGGACGTCATGACACAGTTAGAACACTGTGTCAGGTATGCAGAAGACAGAACTGGGGAAGATGTTACTGATATAGTACCAATGCTTAAGGAGATCTATTCATTTCTGATGGAAGCGTGGCGCCAGGACAAGAACACCAAGAACCTCATCCTCAATCGAGCTAAAGTTTGTATCTGGAATGGAAGTGGCTTTTCGGAACCAAGCAAAATGTGTGTAGTAGAACCTCCGTTTCATCTAGCTCCTTACATGGCATCTATTCCGCCATCTACTAATGCATTTGCAGACTTGTTTGAAGCGCTAGGAGTTGAAAAAAACATGGCGGCAAACTCCAATGCTCTGGTTGACATACTGCATGAGATCAAGAAAAGATGTGACGATTCAGAAACTGATGCGGCCTTCCAACAAGGACAGCGCCAACTTGTACTGCAGATCCTTCACCATCTACGTGCCGAAGAAGAGCTCTCAGAAGAAGCTGTGTTACGATTAGTCGTTCCATCGCAAAAAGGAGAATGTCATCTCATTCCAGTTGATGAGAGCGCATACGTGGACAGAGAGTGGTTGAGACAAAGCAACGACAATGAGGAGATGGATGACGATGAAGACTTTACTTTGATTCATTCAGATATCTCAATGGACCTTGCAATATTCCTTCATGTCCGACCTGTCAGTCGACTTCTTCTAGACCCAGAAGAATTGCCCGTTTTTACACAAGCTGGGCAGCATGAACCATTGACTACTCGCCTGTGGAATATTCTCAAGAACAACTATGTGGACACCGCCATCGTAAGTGAAATGATACAGAATGCGGAAGATGCAGGAGCTCAGGAAGTCCGCTTTCTCATTGACATGAGAAGTAACGAAAATGCAAACCAGAAACTATTCGATCCTGAAATGAAGTCTTGTCAGGGACCAGCTCTTTGGGTATACAACGATGCTGTATTCACAGACCAAGATTTTGAAAATATTCTCCGTCTTGGAGGGCGTACCAAGGAAAAGGACGCTGAAAAGATTGGGAAGTTTGGGACTGGTTTCAACTCGGTGTACCGCATAACTGATGTTCCAAGCTTTGTTAGTAGGGACTACATGCAGTTTTTCGACCCTCATACCACACATCTCAGAAGCGTTCTCCCGAACAAGAGTCAACCCGGTGTTCGTCTCAAATTGAATAGCTCCAAACCACTCCGGAGATTCCCAGATCAGTTCAAGCCATTCAAGGGAGTGTTTGGGCTCGATTTCAGTGGAGGAAATGAGCCATTCAATTACAACGGAACACTCTTTAGACTGCCCCTTCGTTCTAAAGAAGCTGCACAGAAAAGCCAAATATGCAAGGAGAGCTACGATGGGGAGAAACTGATCAACCTGATGCAGAAAATGTGGGAATCATCACAAAACCTCCTGGTGTTCACCAAACAGGTAAAGAAGGTTTCCCTGTTCTACCTTTCTGAGAATTCTAGCGATCCTACCAGGGCTGAGGAGTTACTCACCATTCAGAAGACCGTGCGATCTCCGAGGATGAAGGACGATACTACCGTCATTTCAACTGAATCAATCCACTGCACAATGACTGCAAAGGGAAATGAAATGATGTTACAGAAACAAGAAGTTAGTGGAGACTTGAACATAGTCAAAGTGATATGCAAGACTTCAGAACAGGCAGCATCTCTTGCGAAATCTCCGGATGGCAAAGAGTGTGGACTTTCACCTGAAGGTGCGGTTGCCTTTCCTTTTCATAGACCACCAATGTCTAGATTTGAGAAGCAGATCTACTGCTTTCTTCCCCTCTCAATTCCCAGCTTGTTCCCGGTACATATCAACGGATCTTTCGCTGTGAAAGAGGATCGGCGGAGTCTTCACATGCCAGTGCCCGATGGAAGGTTGATATCTGAGAAATGGAATCACATACTTCTTACAGATGTGATATGCAGAGCGTACGTTGCACTCTTGTCTGACAGTGAGTTTATTCAACAAGTGAAGGACACATACGGCTCAGATATGTCTCCTGAAAAGTTGTGGCCGGATATTGATGACGTACCAAAGAATTCACAATGTTCTGCACTGTTTGACGCTTTCTACAAAGCAATGGTACATGGGTTTGATGGCCATGAACCATCATTGTTCTGGAAAGATGGCAAATCGCATCAGTTCACGAATGTTGTGTTCCTTAGTGAAGAAGTTCAGAAAGAGACATCAGTCAGTGATGTGGTAACGATGGTACTACGCGACCATCTCCCCTCAAAGGAAGTGATGTCATTGACCGAGAAAACTTGGAGAGCCCTAAGGAGAGTACAGCTGATAAACGAAGTTCTCAAGAGAACTTATGATTTCAACAGGTTCTTCAATGAAATCTTTCTACCACACATCAGTCAGATGCCAGACAACATCAGAAATCAACTGGTTTTATTTGCACTCAATAACAGTGAAGACACACTACAGCAGAAACTAAAAGATGTGGAATGCATACCAGTAGAGGGAGGATCTGAACTGCGGAAACCTTGTGATCTAGTACACCCGAAAGGCAAAGCTGCACCTTTGTACTCGGAGTCTGATAAGGTTTTCCCTCTGAGAGAAAAATTCAATGGCACCAACACATTGGCTTCACTTTGTAAGCTAGGAATGGTGAAAGACTGTCTTGATGAGGATATTTTCGTCGAGCGATGCGAGACTGTTCACATTCTGCATTTAAGCTGTATGGAAGTAGCTCAAACGAGATGCCATGCTGTACTGAAGTATCTGTCGGAGATGTTGAGGAGTGAATGGAATGGGAAGAAAAACCTCGGAGAAAGCCTTGCGAGTATCCCATTCTTGCCTATCTTGTATGAAGAAAACAGAGATCCAGCTCTACCATGGGTGGAAACAGACTGTGCTTATGCATCTGCTAACGATGTGTACTCTCATTCTAAAAGATATTTGGTAAGCAGCACATCAAACGTTGTGGATGAATCAGGAGTGTGGAAGCTTCCAAGGAAAGTCGAGCACTATCTTGGTCTTGTAGATAAATATCCCTCTGTTCAAGGTGTACTCAAGCAGTTCTCGAACTTTCGTAGTCACTACGAAAGGAATAAGGAATCCATTTCTGATAATCGGTTACAAATGATAAGCGAAGCAGTCTACGAGCGTGTTGAAATTGCTTGTAAAGAAAATAGTCCAGACATCTCCAACGAAGATCTTCAGAATCAATCATTCTTCCTTGTAGATCACAAGTTTGTAGTGGCCTCTAAGGTTGCCGATGGAGGTAGAGATCTTCCACCGTATCTATTTAAAGCTTCCCAGTTCCTGAAACAATATCCCATTCTTCTGGAACGTGCAGCATTAAAGAGGGAATTTGATGCCGGAGACTATCAAGGTGTTCTCCAATCTATACACAAGGATAGCAATGGGAAACCTTTAGATGATGAGGTCTTGGAGGTTGCTATCCTAGCTGCCGATCGACTTGCTAGTTTCCTCAAAGATGATGATGATGAGAGACGGTCTCCAGATGCATTTCTCCCAGATGAGCACAAATGCATGAGGCCTGTATCAGATCTCTGCTACAGTGACGTTGACTGGTTTGAATACGACGAAGTCAAACTCCATAAGTGTCACATGAGAATCAGTTTTATGCTTGCAAAGAAGCTGAAAGTGAAGGATGTTCGACAACAGATGCTCCGGTTATACGATATGGATTTCCCAGGGGAAGAGTTTGGCCAACATGAGAAACTTACAACCCGTATCAAGCGGATTCTCGATTCATACCCATCTGATGAAACAATTCTGAAAGAACTTCTTCAGAATGCAGACGATGCCGGAGCAACTGAAATCCATTTTGTCTACGATCCTCGCTCACATAATGGAAAGAAACTTCTAGGAGATAGCATGAAAGCTTTGCAGGGTCCTGCTCTTTGTGTCTTCAACAACCAATCTTTTACAGATGAAGATATTCGTGGTATACAGAATCTTGGAGAAGGTAGCAAAGCTGATCATATGGGAAAAATAGGCCGTTATGGGGTCGGTTTCAATACGGTGTATCAACTTACGGATTGCCCAAGTTTCATCTCCAAAGGTGAACGATTATGCATGTTTGACCCTCTGCTGAAGTATATTCCGGGAGCAACATATACCAAGCCGGGTCGACTGCTAAGAGTGAATAGCAGTGTGCGTTCTGCGTATCCAGATACCTTTCAATGCTACTTGGAAGACATTCTTGGAGACGGAGAAGAGGACTTCACAGTTTTTCGTTTTCCATTGCGGGAGGAAGCTTCAACACTCAGTGAAAACGTATGGCGACCAAAGGAGATTCGGAAGCTACTACACGACTTTGAGAATGCTGCATTTGAGAGTCTTTTGTTTCTGAAAAACATCACTAAAATCAGCATCTCAGAGCTAACGAGCTCGGGAGTTATTGGCTCTACTCATGCTATCAAAGCAGAGATTACCCCAACTGAATGTGCCAAGAAAAATGATTTCCTGCGCAAAGTTCAAGATATCAGTAGCGCAGAACAGGATGGCGGTACCTGGCAAACCGAACCAGCAGAAGTCATATACCAGATGAAATTGAGAGGAAAAGGAAGAGATGAGGATTGGGTGATATGTCAGCAAGTAGGAAGTGCAGACACGGTAGAAGAAAAGATAATGCGGAAACGTAAACTACTTCCAGTGGGGGCTGTTGCTGCCCGTCTGACAGATAAAAAAGAAAGACTCAAAGGAAGGGCTTACTGCTTCTTACCCCTTCCCATTGCAACGGGACTACCAGTTCACGTGCACGGATACTTCGCCTTAGACCATGAGAGTAGAAGACACTTGTGGGAAGGTAGCGAAACAGATGAACAAACATCGTGGAACTTTCACATCATCCAGAAAGTTATTGCACCGGCTTATGTGAAGTTGCTTTTGTGGATACAGGAATTCTTTGTCAGTAAATATGAATGGTCAGGAACGATGTCATGTAAACAGAAAGCTCACACTT